ATTTTTTCCTTTCCATATTTTTCCTTATTTTGTACATTATGGTCAGACTTTTTCCCTCGTTTACTTCCAATGAATTTCCGTGTGGCATATTCAAATGAAAAGATTAATAAAACACGGACGGAAACGTACAAACAGAACAAGGACAAAGACGGACGGACAAAACACGGGCTGTCAAAGTTAGAAAGGAAAAATATGGAAAGGAAAAAATGAAGGAAAAATCAATTACACCCTTATTTGCGTATAGGGCCAACCTTTTCCTTTATCTATTTTTTTGTCTCGATCAACACATTTTATTGAAGAAAACTCATAAAATGACAATATCAAAAAAATTAGCAAGTTTTTTAATTTCATTTTTTCTTTATTCTAAAATATAATTTGATAATTATTAATACAGCTATTTTATTTAAAGATTATTTTAATCGTGCTCGTTCACTTAAGTCTTAATAATTTAATTTTTAAAATTCCAAAAATCCTTTGGCAAATTTAATCAGTTGGGTGGTCTCAGGCAAAGGTAAAGTCCCGATTCACTTCTGCCCGAAGTTTCGGGTACTTTTTAAACTGTTTTCCATTGTTCGGTTTACATAAAAACTTCTTTGGAATTTTACGCTATTTACTTTTAAGTTTTTCGCGCTTAGCTAACTTTTTATAAAATCTAAGATATAATATAAAATTATGGGTTCTACTTGACTTTATGAGTCCAATCGAACTTTATGAGTCCATACGAATTTTATGAGTCCAATCACATTTTATTATATTTTATTAAATAATACATTTATTAAATAATGCATTAAAAATGAATAGGATTATGTTGCTAGACCTATGGAGCATAGGCGAGACGCTTGTGCAAAACCCCGCGATTCGCGCGGGGTTTTGCGGCACGCGCCTCGCGGGAGTCAATGGTCGCTTCGTTCTACGAGATTAACATAAACCTATTCCTTTTTCCATTACCAGCCTTGATCTACGACCTACCCACGTAGCTCACGAAAATCTTATTGGACTCGGAAACTGTGATTGGAATCATAAACCGTAGTAGAGCCACAATTTTTACTTAGAATAATAAGACATGTCGGATTTATAAAATTTGTTTGGAGTCATAAATTTTGATTGGACTTATAAAGTTTTGTTTGGACTCATAAACTTCGATTGGACTCATAAAGTTCGGTTGGACTCATAAAATTTGTTTGAACTCATAAACTTTGATTGGACTCATAAAGTCAAGTAGAACCAAATTATGTTTAGGCTAATAGAGTATATGAATGAATATTTAAAATTATAAAGGGCTATTTAAATGGGGTTAATCAATGTCATTCTTTAAGTAGAGGCCGACGTGGAGAGCCAAATAGCCTTAAATTGTGAGCCAAAAGGCATGGATAGTCATGTAGAGAGCCAAATTGACTTCACAAGTGCAATACGAGTATGTTGCCCATTTATATATCAATGTAAAGCAAATATAGTTATTTAATTCAATAGCTCTGCAGCAGGTAGCAATGTGAAATGGATAACAATCAATCCGGTCAACGGATATCGGCTAATATAAGAGATTGTCGAATACTGAGATTCTAAGGGATTAAGAAAATACCGGTCATTTGGAAGTAGATCGAGAAAGATACCCCCACTTTATAATTCTTAATCTCCCAAAATGGTAAATGTCTTGCAAAAAGGCATTTTTCGCTGAATCCACTCCTTTCCTTCTCTTTCAAATGATTGGTTGACAGTTTGGCGCAACAAAGGGAAGGGGCCTTGGATTTAAACGAAGCAAAGAGTACAATAGACAATGGATTTAAAAATTAAATATATAAACTTACATCGTTAAATATTCAAAATAAAAATAAAAAATGCACAAGAAATGGGCAACTCTATTTGAATGAACCCTCCAATTGAGTGAAATTTTTTGGGGTTTGAAAATTAGAATGGCGGTTATTTAATTAGCTAAATACGGTATATTAGATTTTTAAATCCAAAGTCTATTGCACTTTCGCTTCGATTAAATCCAAGGCCCCTTCCCTTTGTTGCACCTAACTGTCAACCAGTCATTTGAAAGAGAAGGAAAGAAGTGAATGCAGCAAAAAATGCCTTTTTGCTGACTGCCTTTTGTGGACATGTGGACAGCAAGCTGGACATTACCTCCCAAAATAAACTGACATTCAGTGCATCAGACGAAAATTTTGAAAATTATGGAAAAATCTTCAGTCGGAAATATGCTTTGAAGTTTGTCGAAGACCGGAAATTTTCCCAAAATTTCGGAAATAAGAAGGAAAAAAACGTCGGAAATTGGAATTCAAACCCACCTCTAATCGTTATTTCTCGTTGAATGTTTAAATTTAAAATAGCAGAAATCCCCCTATGAAGTTTAATTTTTTTTTGGTAATTTTTGGCAAAATAAAATTTTCTCCAACAAATTTTCGCAAACATTATGGAAATCTTGACTTATAGGGGACTTTTTTTGGCTGGACCGATTTCGACAAATAATATGTCATTCGAAAGAGCTCGTCGAGCTGAGTCGAATGAGGGGTGAATGGTGTCGATCCGACAATCAGGGACCGAGTTACAGACCCCTGAAGTTTGAAAAAGAGAAGGGGGGAGTAAGCTCATTTTGGTAAAAAAATTCAAAAATGTAAATTATAGCTCATTCGAAAGAACTCCTCGAGCTGAGTCGAATGACACCAAAATCAGTTCGATTGAACAAGTTTGGACGAAGTTATGACACAGTAAACAAACAACGTAAACCTATGGGGCGTCGGCGAGGCGCTTGTGCAAAACTCCGCGCTTCGCGCGGAGTTTTGCGGCACGCGCCTCGCGGGGAGTCTACGGGCGCTGGGTCTGGGCTCGTAACATAAACCTATTCCTATTTCCCTTGCTTTAGATGTACCCGGGGCCTTGTAGCAGTAAAAACCGCGGAGACCATAGGTAAGGAGCTAAAAACGACACAAAACTTTGTCCAAACTTGTTCAATCGAGCTGATTTTGGTGTCATTCGACTCAGCTCGAGGAGTTCTTTCGAACGAGTTATTATTTACATTTTTGAATTTTTTGACCAAAATGAGCTTGAATTTTTTGACCAAACCCTTCTCTTTTTCAAACTTCAGGGGTCTGTAACTCGGTCCCTGATTGTCGGATCGATACCATTCACCCCTCATTCGACTCAGTGCGACGAGCTCTTTCGAATGACATCACATTTGTCGAAATCGGTACAGCCAAAAAAAGTCCCCTATAAGTCAATAGTGCCAACATTATTACCCAAAATGAATTTATACATGTTATCTGATAAATTTCTACACATTTAGTAATTCGTTACTTACTAAAAATTTGCTCCACAACATTTTAAATAGATTTTTTTCGTTATAATTTCGGAAAACGAACAGAGCCGAAATAGTTCGAAATATATTCCATTCGAAAGAGCTCGTTGAGTTGAGTCGAATGGTGAAAAAATTTTCGTGCGGACTCATACAGGGGCTGAGATATGGGCCCCGAAAATCGAAAAACCATAGGGGGGACCAAGCAGTTTTTTAGGGTGAAAAATTCGAAAATGCAAATTATACCTTATTCAAAAGAGCTCATCGAGCTGAGTCGAATGACACCAAAATCAACGAAATCTGACTTGATTTGACAAAGTTATGGACGTTTGTTTTTACCCCTTCCACAAGGTTTTCGCGGAAAAAAGTTTTTGCCGCTGCGGAGGAAGCCGGGCATGTCGAGCGGAACGACGGCCGCCGCTTCACAAAAACAGTTTTTCCAGCAAAGATTTTGTTGGTCATAACTTTGTTCGGAATCATACAATCGAGTCGATTTTGGTGTCATTCACTTCAGCTCGTCGAGCCCTTTCGAATGAGCTATTATTTGCAGGTTCGAATTTTTTGACCCCGAAAATTTTCAAATTTCAGGGGTCTGTAACTCGGCCAAATGAAGTAACTCGGCCAGCTCTTTCGAATGAGGTATAATTTGCATATTCGAATTTTTCACCCCAAAATTGAGCTTACTCCCCCTATGGTTTTTCGATCTTCAATCGCCTGTATCTCGGTTCAAAAATTTTTCCTAGAGCTAATTTTGGTAGCGTAGGCTTTAGGTATGAAGTCGTAGGCTTTAGGTATGAAGTCGTAGCTTTAGGTATTTTCTTTCCTTTCTCATTTAATTTCACAACTTTAAAGTTGTTAATTTATGTTTGCTCTTAAGCTTTTTAAAATTATTTTAGAGAAAATAAATATAAATTTTTAATAAAAATTTATTTCAAAATTTTTTTTACACTTGTGACTTATTTAATTGTGGTAAATTAATGAAGGTAAATTAATTCAAAGATTTTCTAAGCAATCACACGACTTATTCTCTTATTGAAGCAAGGAATCATCACATTGTATTAAAATATACATTAAATCGTAAAAATCGTATATTCTAGAATAATTCTGTACATTTATTATCATAAAAGTGCATTGCAAATTCCCATTCACGAGTAAATAAATAGCTTAAATAAGACGACTACAATTATTTTTAATTTTATATTTTTTAAAATAAGGCAGCTGGGCTATGGCTTTTTAACTCCTTCAAATTTTATGTCAATCGTGCAAAAATAAAGGAAATTTTTAAGATTTTTGCTAAAAAACCTAGAATAGGTTCAAAAAAATTGAAATAGGTTGCAAATAGGTTTTAGGTCCAAAAACTCCGAAATAGGTTTTTAGGTTTTAATAGTTCTAATAAATCATTATTATTTCGACCCAAAAGAGTTATTTGTGTTAAAAAAATTTGATAAAAATTTTTTATTGTAATTTTTACATTTATTCTTTGTTTCATCAGCAGAAATTTAATATATCTTGTAATTACCTTATTATTTCAAGTTTTTAAAATTTAATATTTTATTTTACATGGGTAGCGCGCCAAACCTACCTTTGCTTGTCGTTTCACGACTTTAAAGATTAAAGAATTTATTTTTAATTTCTAAATTTTTTCCCTTTTTTTAATCACACCTGCATTTAAAAACTTAAAAACAAAATTCCTTTCCTAGACCATTGGTTGTTTATTTAAAAATGTTTATCCCTCCCCTTTTTTATTCAATGAAATGTGGCTCTATTTATTTCTGCCTGTTTTTGCCTTTTCAACCTTCATTCCTATTACTTTTTTGCTTTTCTGCTTCATTCTATTCATTCTTCATTCTGCTTTGCATTCATTCTTCTTCATACTTTTGCTTTTAACTTGTACGACTTTACTTTGCTCTCCCTTATAAAATATTCTTTTGCTGCTGATTTAGCTTTTGCTCTTCTAAAAAATATTCTTAATTTTGCTTGCTAAAATTTTGCTTTGGACTTTACTTAATTTTTGCTTTTCAACTTTTTTGCTAAAACTGATTTTTTACTGCTTTGGATTAAAAATATATTTTTTTATTGGAAAATTTTTAATTGCTTTAAATAAAATTTCAATTTGTTTCGCTTGAAAAATTGTGTGAGTTTTTACTAGGCCTTTCCTTTTTTTGAGTTCAACCTAGGCCTAAATTTTACTATTCGCGGAACCCTTTCCGCGACAGCTCAGCCCATTTTTTTAATATTCGCGGATTTCCCCCCTTTCCGCGACATTGCTTAAGGGCGGTTGTTTTGAATTTTTGCTACCAGTTGTTGTGATTTTGTGGAGTTCAGAACAATTAGTTTTAGATTTTTATGGCATTTTGAATTTTGTAAGGCTTTGAAGCCATAAACTCAATTTCGTCCATTTTCTGGGCCTATTCCACAATGCTCATAGACATTAAATGTCGGCAGAGTTATGTCAACCTAACAGCCAAAGATAGTTAGAAATAATAAAGAAAATAGGACTATGCCTCTTTCGTCTCTTCACTCTTCACTCTTTCTCTTACTATGCCTCTTTCGTCTCTTCATTATTATCTCAAGCCATTTTTCCCTAATTTGTGTTGATATTTCTCTATCGACAATGAAAGTTAATGTCGCTTTGTGGAATAGGCGCTTAAAGATGTTAGTATGGTCCCAGCCATGAAGTTTGCTCTCAGCCACATCAAGGGGAAGTTGATAAATTTTTCATGTTTTAAACACTAAAGGCGAAGATAGGTCTAATCTGAAAATGATTGGAATTTTAGTAAAACCTTTAAAGAAACTAATTTAAATAACTAAATTAAAAAATATTAAACATTTAAAAAAATAAAATAAAAGGTTAATTATTGACTTTAAATTTTTCTCTACTAAGACTCTCGTCCTTTGCCATTCCCGATTATAAAATTGGCATATCACATGTTTGTAATACTCCCTACACATATACAGAGGGCTGCGATTGAATGTAGTCAAAAATGGGAGAGAGGAATCGCTACCCTCCATTTTATTTAATTTAGTCAATTCCTCTTTAAATTTTTTTATAAAAAAGTTTTTTTCTAAGAAATTGTCAAAGTTTTAAATTGACAATACTTAGTATTTGGTGAAACACTAAACTTGACTGCAGTTTTCTTTTAAGTTCATGTTTAACATAAACTTTTAAAACAAATTCGTTGGGATTGAGAATAAATGGGATTGAGAACCGAGGAACAAGCCAATTGTGGAACATTAATGTGAATAAATTATCTTCGCCCCTTCCAATCACTCTAAGAGCTTGAGTGTTGAATACTGTCTGGCCGGAGTATTTTATATATTTTGCCTTCGTATTCCGCCTTTTCACATCTGCCAATGACGGGGGAAGTTGACCCGTCAACGGGGAAAGTTGTTCCAATGACGGGGGAAGTTGACCCGTCAATGGGGCGGTAAGGTGGGCGGCGGTAAAGTGGGGTGTTCCCCCGGCCGGGTCGAATCTGAAAAACCCGGCCCCGGCCTGGGTCCAAGTTTAAGTAAATTTTAAATAAAATTCTACCTTAGTTGGCCAAATCTAGATCCCTAAACATCAAAAAAGCAAAAATTTTCGCCGGCGGCGCTAATTAAGCAGCTTAAATGCGTCATTACCATTTTTCCGTTTTAACTTTTTACAAGCGAGATCAGTATCTGGCTTATCTTTCACAACAACTTAAAATAGGCAGAAATTGCAACCATCCTACAATATTGCTTAGTTGGTTAGTGCGCCAACTTTCATGCGAAAAAAGGCATATCTTTTTGAATTCGCTCAAATCATTATCTGGGCTGATAAGAGAGATTAAAAGGTTATCCTCCTCCGATATCAATCACAAACTGATAACTATTCTATTATGTTTTTTTAACCCCTGCAAATCCACCGATAACCCGGAAAAAAACTAAATTTTAAGAATTTTTCAAATTTTTAAAAAACCTTGTCCGGCCCCGGGTGTAAAAAACATAGAAACATAGTTTTAGAGATTTTAGCCCGCCAACCTGGCCCGGGTCGGATTGGAAGCAAAAAACCCGGATACTGGGCCCGGCAAATTGAAATGTCGAACTAAATATAGATATGCTATGCTTTCAAATTTCTTTTATAGAAGCTAATTTAATTATTTTTAAAAATAATTTCAGGCAATTATTCAATGATTATATTTCAGTTACCGATTCTTTTCCCGCTTATTTTGGTATTGATAAATTTGCTTCGAGGTAAATATTTAACAACAAATTATAATAATTCGAAATTATTCGAAAATTATAAGCATAATTTTTTAATTTTGAATATAGGATCGCTAGCTGGTTGTTTTCAAAGTAAACAAAGGCCTGGAAATGGAGGATATGGTTATGTTTTTTTTAATTTCAATTTTCTTGCTTTATATAAATTTATTTTGTGTATTTGACATTTAAGAAATAGCTACAACCTCTCGTGGAAGCCAAGATCGGTGTCATTGTCAACAATATTCTATTAGGGAATTAAACAAATTAATGACAATTAAACAAGTTGTATTAAAAGTTCCATTAGTATTTGACGATTTGGGTAAGGGAACCTTTGGCCAGGTAGGATTTTTTGTATTAATTTATTAAAAAAGATTAACTTTCATTTAATAATCTCTTAAATTTAAGGTTATACATGCTTTTCATTCTGAAAAGAATATATGTTTTGCTCTAAAAATATCTGCAATTAATCAAGAAAGTAAACACGCAGTACAAAGAGAATTGGATGTTTTGAATTATTTCAACACTTTGGAAGAGCAGCATGGATTTGCAGCAAGAAATCACATTATAAAAATGCATGAAATGTAGGTATAAAAACTGATTCTATAAAAAATCTGACCTTCCATGTATTTGTTTTCGTTTAAACTGCATGTATTATAAGACTAAGGATTACTACAATTATTTTTTAAGGAAAAAAGAAAGTAAGAGGATGTATTTTCTCTTAGAGCTTGGAGGCCCCACGTTGAGTTATTTTTATCGTCAAAAGGTTTCACAAAGGCATGGAAGAGCTGCTAGAGTAGAAGAGCAGTTTTTGATAAATATTCTTAAAGGGGCGGCTCTAGCACTTCAACAATTCCATCAATGTAGGACTAAATAAACACAAAAACGTTATTAAATAAATTTAGATGGAATTCATTTGGATGTTAAAAAAGAGAATTTTGTCATAGCTCTGGATGGAAATCAATCTGAACCAAATGCTGACTTTGAATCAACTGAAACAATTCCTGTTAAACTGATTGATTTTAATATTTCAGTTATTGTAGAAAAAGGACATATTGCGCATACTAAACATATGGCCGATGCAATAAAAGCACCGGAGCTCTTAAATAATCCTCGCAACGTAATTTAAATTTTATAAATTTTCAAGTAGAAAACTTAACCTCTCAACTATTTACCAACAAACTGTGGTTTGTTTGTTGGTCGCTGAAAATCAACTTCAATTTTACTTAATATATTCTTAGCCCTCAGACAAAGCAGACGTTTGGTCATTTGGCTTGATGGCTTACGGTCTCTTCCATGATGAAAATTATAGTATCTTTATTTTTAAATTTTCAAAATTTTATAAAACAAATGTTACAGTAGAGAGATCCCAAGAGGCTGTTATTGTTATGTTACGCCAGTACAGAGAAGGTACAAACAATAATGGACGTTTAGATAATCTTATAAAGGTAAATTGTTATATTGTTTTTTATTTAAATTAATATCAACAAGAAGGGAAATACAATATTAAATTTATGGTAAATAAAAATTAATTCCAGGCATGTATTCGTGAACATCCAAATGATCGCCCAACAATGGATGAAGTTGTTCGCTTTTTGAATGAGGAAATCGACCGTCTTTAGATGAAATGGTTTAGTAAACTAAGTCTAGAGATACCAAAATTGTGGCAAAATTTATCTTTTCCTATCATTATGGCCTTTTTATTTTCTATTGGAGGTGAGAGGTGAAAATGAAGTTTTAGTTATTTGAAACCGCGCATGATTTTATCTTTTTTGCGGCGAAGATAAAATTTTTTGGATATAACCAGTTCCTTTTTAGCTTGAATGAGAAAATAGTTAAAATTTTTGTCAATATGGGCCTTAAAATCTTGGGTTTTAAACGATAAACGGTATTACCGAGATTAAGGTATTATGGGATTATTCTCGATAAATCTCTCCACGTATAACCTTTTAAAAAACCCCGATACAGTTGCGATTTTGCCTCACCTTAATTTAAACAAAATTCTATTTTTAAAATATTCGTTCCTTTATTCTATTTATTTGCTAATATTTTATTTATTTTATTTTGGAGCAGGCTAAGGTAACTTCGGTCAAGGTACCTAGCCTTATAAGGCGGTAGCTTGGCCCTGCAGTCTTTGGACTGCTATAACACTAGCGACAGTACCTTGGGGTTGCTCACTTTATTTAACTATTATTTTTAAACGAATTTTTTAAAATTGTTATCTAATCTCTTTTTCTTTGAAAGTAAATTTTAAACTGTAAATTTTAAACCTAATTCTCCGGGATTGCCACCTTTTTCAATTAAAAACGACTTTTGCATGTTGCACTTTATACATACGTGAAATAATTTTAAATTAAACAGAAATAGAACGAAATATAATAATTAAAAAATATGTTTTAAAATATTTCTTTTTACTCTTAGTGAATAATTTTAAAGATTTCAAATATATAATCAGAAAGAAATAATGAAAGTATGTTTAAACAATGTCCAAATATAGAGATTGGCACCATTAAGAAAAAAGACAAGAAAATATAAAATAACAAAATAAATAAATGGTTTTGAGATTTTAGGTATTTAATTTAAAATAATTAAAAAACTAATGTATTTACTAGTGTTATTCAAACGCGTTTTTTCGGTATCGGTATCGTTATTTTCGGTAAAATACCGATACCGAAAAAATACCGATTTTTTAAAAATTGTTCGGTACCGTATTCGGTATCGGTATTTCGGTAAAAATACCGCGGTATTACCGAAAAATACCGCCGTAATACGGTGCCGTGAATAACACTAGTATTTACATAAATCGGATGATAAACATTATAAAATCTTCGATTTTTTAACACCCAATACCAAAAAATTTCTTAAATTAAAACACAAAACCATTTTATCGTAAATACTCCAGTATATCTCCAATAATTAAAATTTCGATATTTCTGAACTTTTATGAGTTCAGTTCTACGCAATTTTTAAGCTGGATATACTTTAAAAGCAATAATATTAGAGTATTTACGGAAAGTGCAACAAACATTTTCTTTTCGATTGACTATAAACTAAAATAGGGAATTGAAGTGCTTCAACGTGATCAAAAAAATAACCTCTCGATTTTTTTAAAATCGAAAGCATGTATGTTTATCCGTTGAAGCACAAAATTTTACATAATATAGAAGAGAATTTTTTTTGAAAAATTCTTAATTTAAATTTTAAAACTACTTCCAAAAATATTTACTTTTAAAATAAATAAAACTAATCATAAATGATAAACTTTTAAATAAAAGGTGACCATTATACCAAAAAATGTAAAACTTTAATTCTTAAATTTCATTAAGGCTAGAGAAATATTAAATTTATTTGGGATTATGTTTGGGATATAATGTCAAAAATAAGGATCATTGTCGAAATAACTAAAAATATTAAATACGAGCAAACTATAGAAACATGGAAGAAATATCAAAATATAGAATAGAAAACCTCCCTAAATGTTTCAATCCTAACTAAAAAATATTTTTGTATGTTTTACTGCTTTCCTATTTCGAAAAAATAATTAAATTTATATTTACCAGCATTAATACTTTGATAATAATGTAATAGTTAAAAGTTTTACTAAATTTTAAAAAATAGACTGAATCAGAAATGTTAATCACCCAAAGTTTTCTATAAGAAAGTCAAAAGATTAACCAAGTTTTAGATGCTTCTCCTTTTTCCCACCACTATGTTTACCTTTGCCGCGAATTTCAGGACGTTTACCTTTACTGCTTTTTTCTTCTTCTTTCGGCTTTTTTCCAGTTTCTTTCTCCATCTCACGAGGCTCGTAATCAAAATGAGTAATATCCCCATTCAGAAATTTGAGAATATCATCAATTGTTGGACGATCAATCGGTTCTTTCTGTATACAAGCCTGCAAATATTTACCAGACTTATATAAAATTATAAAAACAATTTTTAATAATATACAAAAATTAGATTCCGACATTCCATTCGAATAGAGCCTTTTCGTAAATAATCCGTTTTCGGTTTTGGTTCAGTTAAATGTATATGTCCTAGCATAATTCTACCTCTATAACACGATCCAATTTTGAGTCAGGATTGCATTCATAATTTTTTGGTATGCCTAAAATATTACTTTTAAATCTTCAAAATTAAAAATATTCCTTTATCATTCCATATTATTTGATTAATCTCCCTAAATAACTCAAAATCCCTTGTAATTTTAATATTTCGGATACAAATAAAGCTCTTAGGAAGGATAAAGGAAAATCAGTGAATATTAACCTTTATGATACTGTTCATTGAATATCTCATAAACCATTTTACCGAAATCAGAAACGTCATCTCTTTGCCATTTTTCAATAATATCTCTTTCATTTCCCTGATAAATGTTATTAAATTTGTAAATAACTACTTTTCTCTACCTCATAAAGTTTAGAAATTTCAAAATCAATCAATTTAACATCAATTACACCAGAGTTTTTTACACACAATTACACCAGAGAATTACACCAGAGAAAACCATTTTTAATAAGATGGAAAAATTGGATTCCGACATTCCATTCGGATAAAGCCTTTTCGCAAATAATCTGTTTTCGGTTTATGTTTAGTTAAATGTATATGTCCTACCCTAATTTCTACCTTTATAACACGATCCAATTTTGAGTCAGCATCGTAGTGTCTTGACAAATATTCATGATATTCTGGTATGCCTAAAATTATTTGTAAATCTTCAAAATTAAAAATTTTTCCTTTATCTTTCCATAAATCTGCAATTCTGAATATTAGACTAAACTATCTAAATAAACAAAATCCTTTGTAATTTTAACATTTGTGATACAAATAAAGCTCATAGGAAGAATAAAGGAAAATCAGTGAATATTAATAATTTAAATAGCACCTTTAAAATACTTTTCATTGAATATCTCGTAAACCATTTCGCCGAAGCTAAAAACGTCATCTCTTTGCCTTTTTACAATAATATCTCTTTCATTTCCCTGATAAATTTAATTAAAATGTAAATAATCCCTTTCTGTACCTCATAAAGTTTAGAAATTTCAAAATCAATCAACTTAACATCAATTACACCGTCATTTGGAGCTTGATCACGAGAAACAAGAAAATTATAGTAGCCAATATCACCATGGCCTCCAACTGAATTTTATAATATTTGTTTAAATAAAATAAAGTTAAATAATCACATTTATGGAATTGTGCGAGTGCTCGGGCTGCCCCTTTTATAATTTCAATAAGAACTGGCTCATTAGATCTGGGCAATCTTTCTCCATCCTGTGGATCTCTTTCATAATAATAATCTTGTAAATCCTTTCCTCCAAGTTCTAAAACAAGACCATACCTTCTAGCAGTTTTTCCGCTGAAAATTTTTCAAAAATATTTATGGTTAAAGACAAAACGTGAAAAAATGATCATCTCTATGGGTGCAAATTAAACTTTCAGAGTTTGATAAATATGAAAAATACCAAAACAAAATCTATGGTTTGTACAATTACTTGTTACGAAATAACAAGTATCTTTTGTTAATGCAACATGATTTATTCTACTTCTAATAATTTAGTATAACTCTAATAATTATGAATTCTGAGGAATGTTACTATAATTAGCCATTATAGCTCATTGGATAGCGCATACTCTGGAGGTGTTTCTTCCAGTAGATGCTTTCCACCTTTTTGGCCATAAAGTTATAGCCAAAATACTAAAAATATTCATTAAAAATTTTCCGTTTTTCGAAATTTTTCCTCATTTTTTACACTTTTATTAAAGTGTTTATAGTATTGTATTTATATCTTATAGCTATTTAATTCCTAAGGCTGTGCAGTAGGCGGCGTGGTTTATTAAATAGGTGGTGATTTCAGATCAGATGTTTCAATATTATTTATACTTACTGTGCAATCATTTTAATGAGATGATTCCTTTCGACATAATCAATCCCATTTAAATATTGAAAAACAACAAGTTCATTTTTATGAGAAGTTGTATCTTTTAAAGCCACACAAGTAAAAGTATTATTTTCGCCAATCAAATGTGCGTGGTAAACCTTTAAAACAATTTGAATAAGAATTTAATTATTTAAATAATTTTAGGCATAAGGGTTCTATACATATAAGGTATTTTATTAAATTAAAACTGAATGTCTAAGTTTTTGGCAATGTTAAATAACAATATGTATGTATATAAATTTAAAAAATGTCATAAGAATGCATATTATTTTTTGTTAATCAAATTACAATGCAAATTTATTTAAAAAACTTGCTTTGCTATTGCTACCAGTCCCAATTTGGCCGTAACCATACGTCGCATATTTCAATTTGAAATCATTACCATCAAAATCCTTCACAATTAGGGATATTTTCTCCAATTTTTCCCGATCAAATTCACATGCATGTTGATTATCATTTGAAGATGACACACCTTAAAATTAAATTTATACAGATTTTCGCAAATGTATGAATGAGAAAAACTTTTTTGTTAAAACCACTATTTATTAATGTAATATTGGAGAATCCATATATTTAACAAAAATGTAAGAACTGATAAAAAGTTTTCTAAACAAACTTAAACGAAATCACCTTTCCCTTAGTTTAATTCTTCGATATGGTACATGCCTTCTATTGAAGCAAACCCACAAAACGACAATATCACTGTGGAGAGGATTAAAAAGTTTTTTAGTATCATTTTCTCTTTTATCTAAAAATTTATTTTTTAGTGTATTTTGATATTCTTAAATGTTTTAAGTTTAAGAATCTCCTAGGTTGATTATTTTGTATATTTTGAAAATTATTATATATAAACAATATTAATTTAAATAAACAAAAAATTATAATAAAAAAATAACTCTTTAACTATATAAGAGTTAACTTTCATAATCACCCCACTCTACCAGATATTAGGTGTTATTATCAATTTTGTTAAGTTTAAAGAAAGTTATGGCCAAAACAAAACGAGCGCCTCTATTTTAAATTAATTTTTATTTGTAATTTTAATTCTCTAATTAAAAGACAAAAATTAAAAATGAAGGGAAAGTTAAAATGCACTCTAATAATAAACAGCCAACGATGCATTTAAAATAAATTATTATAAGGAAGGCAAGAAGGGAGAAGAAGAGCTGTTTCGAAATTTCGATTTTCGAGGCTTTTTCAACTAATTGAATTTTTGACACTAAAAAGAGTGAATTAATTCTTATTATCCTCAACAGTGATGTTTCTTTAAGAAAACTATTCACAAAACTAATGAGCCTGAAAAAGGACCGGATAAAGATCTCACTCATACTTTTTTACACTTACTTTGGAAAATATAACAGTGAAAATCGAAAATGATTCCTTTACGCTAATGGCGAATTTTTTGAATTTCTGATGGCTATTCAGCCAAAATCCTTTCTAGTGTCACTAATTAGAAATAATTTTTAGTCGAAAATCGAAAATAATGTCAAAGAGTCGAAGCGATAGAAAAAGACCTGGCCTAGGAAATCGAAATTTCGAATCAGCTCTTCTTCTCCCTTCTTGCCTTCCTTATAATAATTTATTTTAAATGCATCGTTGGCTGTTTATTAGAGGGCATTTTAAATTTCCTTTCATTTTAGATTCTTGTCATTTAATTAATTAATTAAAATTACAACTAAAATATTAATTTAAAATATGTATATATATAATATTTTTCTATAAAATTAATGCTGTATTTTGGAATTATCGAGAATTCGACAATTAGATAGGCCATTAGTTGTTGTTAAAATTACAAATAAAAACTATTTTTACAAGAATTTTCATTTGGTCCTTATTGAGGGCTCATTTTTCTTTCATAATATGACACGGAAGCTTCAGAGCACAAATTAACCCCACCCCCGTCTATTCTTTGGTAAATTTGTAAAAAAATGTCAGTCAGCCAGAAGTTATAAAATTAGTCGAGCTTTCTTGAATGACACCGAAATCAGCCCCAAGTCTTAATTTTGAGCCGAGATACAAACCCCCGAAACTTGAAAACAACGGGAGGATTTCTATTAGGGTTTTACCGGAATCTAAATTTTGACCGGAAAAATTTTGCTAGCAAGTTTTTAAAAATTTGTATTTAAAGTTCACCAAATTCTTCGGTTAACCGAAACAGAACCGTAAATTTGCCGGCGATTAAGTGATATATGTGGATTAGAGATTGGTGTATAAACGGATTCGTCGGATATAAGGTTCTCAATTGTAAGGGGGATTAAATTTTTCCAACTATCCGACAAACCTAATATAGTGAGGTCCGGCTGTAGTTATTCATATATTTTTAATTATAGTTGCGGCGCAAAAGTCACCCGGCGCAAAAGTCGCTCGGCGCAAAAAACACGGAACCGTTTTTACATATCCATTCTAATCTTAATGAGAGGAAACAGAAGAAGGGTAAGAAAAAAGTGCGGACAAAGATTTGCGGACATGGGGTTTATAAACGCATATTACCAGAAATATCCAGAATTCAAGTTTATATATTACATAATAGAGAAGTCTAATTTAACTATATTTAAAAATAATTTCAGGCAATTAGTCAATGATTATATTTCAGTTACCGATTCTTTTCCCGTTTATTTTGGTATTGATAAATTTGCTTCGAGGTAAGTATTTTTTGTTATTAATTTTAATGCTTTAAAAATTATTAAATAATTTTTAATAGACATTATGGGATTTGTTTAGGGTCGCGCGAGGTCGAGGTTTTTCTAAAAAACAGCCGATGATCACTGAGGCTGAAAAGCTGAGATCGAGACCGAGAGGCAAATTTGGGACGAGGTTCAAGGTCGAGGTCGCGCAATCCTAATTTGTTTTGGCGAAGCCCTGACCACTGGTGCTTGCCTGAATGATTTTCCCTCGACTTAACTAAATGCTAAGCCGTTCCGCTAGGGAATTGTGGCTGATTGGATAGGACGGACGGCGGAGACAACTAACAAGGAGTAATTATAAAATGGATTATTAAAATTAGCTAATCCAGAATTATTAAAAATTA